CAGGAAATCCACATTGGTATAATATTACTTATTATACTGTAAGCCCTTATTTGACTTTTGTCAGTTTTTCCTTCAGTGTCCTTTTTCTGTTCCAGAATCCTACACAGAATCCCACATTGCATTTAGTTGTTATTTATTCTCAGTCTCCTGTAGACTGTAAGTTTCTTAGTCTTTCCTGCACTTTCACGACCTTGATACTTCTGAAGAGTACTGATCAATTATTTTGTTGAATGTCCCTCAGATTGTATTTTCTTTTCTTTTCTTTATTTTTTAGAGACAGGGTCTTGCTCTGTCACCCAGGATGGGTGCAGTGGTGTGATTATAGCTCATTGTAATCTCGAACTGCTGGGTTCAAGTGATCCTCCCACTTCAGCCTCCTGAGTAGCTGGGACTACAGGAATGCGCCATCACGCCCTGCTAATTATTTTTGTTTTTAGTACAGATGAGGTCTTGCCACATTACCCAGGTTGGTCTCAAATTCCCGACCTCAAGCGATCCTCCTGCCTCAGCCTCCCAAAGTACTGGGATTACAGGCATGCATAACCGTGCCCGACAAGTTTTCTTCTGAGTGGACTGAGGTGATACACTTTTTACAAGAATGCCACAGAAATGATACTGCGTCCTCATGTAATAGGATGTGTGTATTACATAATGCGATTCATGATTGTTGTACTACTAGTGATGTTGACCTACCACTTGATTGAGGGGTTTTTGCTGAGTTTCTCCACTGTAATGTTATTATTTTTCTCTGGATAGTTAATAAATGTCTGGAGAAAATGCTTTGAGACTATGCAGTCTGTTTCAACTCAAACTTTCGCTCACAGATTTTAGCATCCATCTATATATCCTTTCTGCGACAATTATCGTTGTGATGTCTGCCTAGCGGTCATTTTCTATTTCTCTCTATTCTTCTACCATTATTAGTTGGATTTTTTTCTGTGGTGGCCAGGTCTGGGCAAACCTGCCCCCCAAGTCCGAGGAAGCTGAGAGGCCAAAGAAAGATGCTGATAAATCCATTTTCTTCTTAGAAACATTTAATAAAACATCCAGTTTCTTAGAAACATTAAATGAACAGAAGCCATGTTTCTGTCTCAGATGGGCACAAGATGAGATGGTGGGTCCCCACGCCATTACCCCCAAGACCCAGGTCTTATATATCAAGACCCAGGTCTTATATACCATAAAGGAGGGGTAGTTCAGAAAGGATGTGTAGGATAATTGAAGTATGATAACATCAAGGTTGTTGCCTAAGGTCAGGATTTAAGGTAAGTGCCTGCTCTTGCAGAAAAAACAACAGATAAACTAGAAATCTTAGAGGCCTTCCCAGAGCAGGGGTTAATCAGAAGCCAACGTGGCAGAGCATCATCCAAGATGGAGTTGCTTTAGCCACCACAGAATTCTACTTAAAGGAAGAGTTGTCCCTTCTCCTCCACTTCTTTATTTAATCAATTACTTCAATATATGGTCACAGGAATATTTATTTTACCATGTGGGTTATAATCCACTATGGTCAATATGGTTATTATTTAGCTTGTTGTTCAAATTGTTCCAGCTTTGGTCTTTTGGAGATTCTTTAGGTTGATGCCTATGTACCTTTGACAAATCTTATTTTATTTTAAAGCATTTCCTTACTTTCTGGCACCACGAGATATTACAGGCTCATTTTGTAATTTCCCTGACCTGCCTGGGACCAACAACTTCTTGAAGGAACCCTGGTTCCTTTTATTTAAGAATGGTATTTAAAAATCAAATCTGGGTACTAGGCATGCTCACTATTACTGGAGTATCATTGCTTTTAGGTCCTATGACTGGGCATATCTGCATGTATACTAACCCGTTAGTATACACTGACCTGTGTACATACCCCTGTGTGTATACACTTCTATATTTCTGTGTAAGTACTAAAAATGATGAGTTGACAGGTACAGTAGCTCATGCCTATAATCCCAGAATTTTGGGAGGCTGAAGTGGGAGGATCTCTCAAGGCCAAGAGTTTGAGAACAGCATGGGTACATAGCAAGGCCCTGTCTCTAGAAGAAAATACAAAAAATTCACCTGGCATGGTGGCATGCACCTGTAGTCCCAGCTACTTGGGAGGCTGAGATGGGAGGCTCACTTGAGCCCAGTAATTTGAGACTGCAGTGAGCTATCATCATGCCACTGCACTCCAGCCTGGGTGACAGAGTGAGACTCTGTCTCTAAAATAATAAAAATCATGATTTCATACGAATACATTAGATTCCTATTCAATATCAGAGTGTTCATTTCATCTGAAGGACTTTTAAAGACAGGTGTGTCCAAAGTTAAATGTCTGGTTTATGTGAAAGTACCCTTTCCATCACTACAGCCTTTTAATTGTGACCAATATACACACAAATGGCTTGTGTGTATGTCAAGGAAAAGGGGTCCCTGTCCATGGCTAGAGCAATATAATGCAGAATAAGAATATGAGATTCTGAGATGACTTATAAATTACACTAGCTGAGCAAAGCAAAAGGTCTGAACCAAAGGTAAATAGGAAAACGTAAGGCCCTCATAAGGGACAGACAGCATATGTTCTGCCATTTCTACTTTCTGTACCAATGGCAGATATCAACAAATGACCACCACACACTGACGGACTAAGCAAAAACATGGCTCCAAATTTTCAGACATGCATTTCAGACAGCCACTACTAAGCAACTGGAATTCACACTGTAGATGACTCCTATCCCTAGGTTAAACAAATGAACAGCTCATGTAAACCATATTAGCTGGGAGAGGAGGGAGAACATTATCCGTCATTAGATTTTTGCACAAATTACAGAAAAAGCCTGACACAACGTGGTCAATGATGTTCAAAAATTCAATGACATGAGGCCAGTTCCTAGGGTTTGGCTCATGATACAAGGTTTCATATCACCTGGTGGCCAGTTCTTCATTTTAGTTTAGATATCAGTGGGACAGACTGTTAACCATGTGTGTAGCTGAGATTTCCAGGTCAGCATAGTGACTCCAGGCATCTTCTAATTGAATGGGACTTGTTTCTATGACCGATCCTAAGAGAATGGAATGGATAACATTGAGGACACAGGACCCACCCTCCACATTCCTACTTACTAAGATGGAGTTGCTGCTGTTTCTCTCCCCTCTGGGATTCTCTCTACCTTCTATGTCAAGCCTCTCCTGTGCAAATTTAGCTCACCCCAATTGAAGAAATATGTTGAGTAGAGAATGGGAACCAATTGCCAGTCAGGTTGTATATGAGTTTACATGATGGTGACCGTTTCTTATACCTGGTAAGAGTAACTAGCAGAAAGCTGTGGCATGAGCTAATGGGAAATAAGAGAGACAACTATGATGGAAAAATGGTGAGGACAATAGAGAAGGTAGGTACTCTGGCAGAGGGACTGCAGAATAATGCTTACCCTTGGGCCTGTGAGTAGAAAGTCCCAGAAGAAAAGAGGGTAAGTTGAATGCAGTGTAGAAAATCTGGCTTTGTCAAATCAAATAGAATTCATATGGAAAAATGCTCACAATACAGTGTTCACTAAAAGTAATGTGGCCAAAAAACCCTGTGAATATAGTTTGGTCCCTAAGTGTATGAGTGTGTGTTTTCTTTAAATGTGTTACATGCCTACTACAGTAAGACGGCAAGGACCGGGTGGATAACAGGAATGAATGGACATGGTTTCTGCCCCCATAAGGCTTACAGTTTAATACAACAGATAGCTTTGAAAGTAAACAAATGTTAAGAGTGATTATATCATTGGCTATCACATTAGGGATGAGTTTATTTTCTTCTTTATAAATTGTATTTTCCATGTTTTCTACAAGAATGATGTATGCCTTTTATAGTGAGAGAAAAGCAACACATCTTATATTTTAAATGAACAAACATTACAAAAAATAAAACAAAACAAAGAAGACCAGGCTACAGGTATCAATTCACATTCATCAGGCTTATAATAACAGCTTTCTTTACAAAACAGAAAACCAATTTTATGTATTCAGCTATGTCAAAGTCTTACAATAGTAGCTGAAATTATACAAACAGGGTTAAAAAATCAATCTTTGCTCACAAGGCAGATTAAATTATTGTTTGTGCGGTGTTTGTGGCACAGGGAGGTGAGAGGATAGTTAGCATCAGATAAAAATACTGTATTTCTTTGATTAATAAGGGCTAACTAGATGTGTTTACATTTTATCAACATGCAATTTAACTTGATGTAGCGTAACATTTTCTATCCTCTGACTTGCAAAATGTTTCCATTCTTGGATGAAGATTTAGGAGATACTCTAATACACTTTATCAGCATCACACTGCCAAAGCATCTCTTAGAGTAATAAAACTTGAAGAATGTTTATTATTACCTATGCTATGTCAACTTCCTAACTTCAATGCCAGAAAAAGCTTGTCTTACATTTTAAAAGTGGAGTAATGGAATATTAATAATAGCAACTACACTTAATGAGTATTTACTTTGTGCCAGACATTTTACATTGATCACTTCACTAGATCATTCACAACAAAAAAGAATCACAGATCCATAATCTCTTATCTAAAACTCTGGGGACTGGATGTGTTTTGGAAATCAGAGGTTTTTGGAATTCAGGAAGAAATTGGAATCCTTTCGAATACAGTACATAAATTGCATATATTTTGTAACATTCCAAATGGGTACAGGATAGTACTATGTAATGAAACACATTAATCTTACTATTTCTGCAAATAAATGTATGAAAATTCACACTAAATGAAACAAAACCATAAGTAATATTACAATTTATTTACCAAAATATATTAGTAAATTTATTGGTAAATAACATTTTTACATAAATAAGTTTATTGGTATATGAAATAGGAAGATAAATATAGACCACACATACTATAAGCTTTGAATGTGTTTTGTCCCTTGTGAAAAAGCTTCTTATTTCTAAAGAAATTTTAAGTAAAATTTAAAACTTATACTGATGAAAACTAACCCATATCACATATACATGCAATGAATGTTCATTACCTCTGACTGCCTGAGAATCTTGGAGAAGAGGTTGTTCCAGTATTACCATGTCTATGAAACCAGGTTGGAGCTGGACATCTGATGAGCCAGAAACAGGATTGTCAAGAGATGAAGCGGCATAACCAGAGAGAACTTTATTAAATACTTTTCCCAGTTTCACCTGCCTCCTTAACACTGGTTTCTGTCTAAGCAGTTTCTCTTTAATTGACTAAATTGTCATCAGCTCTTGCTCACTGATAAATGTACATCGTTCAAGGCCAGCAATTAATCAGTCACACATTTTCACCATATGATCTATGGAAATTTTTTTCACCCAAATGCATAATGTCATCATCATGACTACTACCACCTTCATATTGATCTGCATTTAACATCATCTCAGCAATTTCCCCATCACTCTTAGGGTGCACTACGGGTTCATCATTATCAATATTAACCATTTCTTCAACATCAGCTTCTTCTAACTTAGTTACACTTTTGGCTGATAAACTTTTGGCAAAGATAATGAGTTATGCTACCATTGTCTTCTCATTCGAGTCATGAAATCCTTCAAAATCTTCATCAGCTAGGTCATTTTCAAACATCATTGTAGCCCAAAGTCTGTGCCAACTATTTGTTAATGTTGACTTATCAACATCATTCCAAGCATTAGCAACTGTGTAGATGGCATCCTTAAGACTAAATTCTTTAAGGAAGTCCTGGATTTTCAGGCCTCTGTTAACTGAAGCAAGTATACTTTTAAAAAAAAAGTGTTTATACTTGCTCTTCACAGAATGTAGAATTCCTTGGTCACAAGGCTGTATTACAGACATCACACTGGGGGAAAAGTCAATGCCAAAAGCATTGCTCTTCACAAGATGTGCAGGAGGGGGATATGCAGAACCGTTATCTAGAAACAATAAAATTTTGCAATTGTCTTCTGGTCCAGTTTGCAATGAGCTCATGCTGCTGGCACAAAGTGCCTATCAAACCAGTTGGAAAATATTTTCCATTACTGATGTTTTCTTGTGTGCATAATAATGTACAGGTAAATTATGCACACCTTTTAAACACCTTGGATATAGGCTATTTCCGATCACTGCCAATTTTATCTTGTGTGTGCCTGCAGCATTAGCATGCCCAAGAATAGTTAACTTTTGCTTGTTATCTTTGACATCTGTTGTTGCTCTTTTGTTAGCCATTGTTGAGGTTTTTCTAGGAACACAGCACCAGTACAGAGCTGTTTCATCAGCATTGTAAATCTGTTCAGGGCTAAGATTTTCATGAGATATTATCTTAGCAAATTCATCAATGTAATTTTCAGTAGCTTCATCATCAGGAGAAGCTTTTTCACCAAGATTTTAAGATACTTGATTCCATGACACTTTTTAAATTTCTGCAGCCAGCCTTCTGAATATTCACACTCTCCTTCAACATTCAGTTCTTCATGGTATATTCTAGCTTGTTTCATGACCAACAAACCAGTCAGTGGTATATCTTTACTTCTTTGTTGTCGAATTCATTCACTCAACACAGGGTCAAGGTCTTCTTTTTTGGCTCTATGCGTTATTTTTCTAATTTTCATTAGTTCCCGGTTATCACTGTCACTATAAAATTTCAACACCTTGTCTGTTTCTTTAAGTCATATATCGTGGTGGTTCCCATACCATATTCTTCAGTAAGACACCTCACAAACATACGAACATCAAGTTTCTGCAATAACTCCACTTTCTGAGATACTGATAAAGACAGATGCTTCCTTTTCTTCTTCTCACTGTTACCCGTAGGTATATCTTTAGCTCTTTTCGACATTTTCCATGGAATTAATCCCCAAGTCAGAAAATGTCAGCAAATAGAGGCATATGTGACTTAGGGATACAAGTGCTGAGACAATAGAGGCTTCATATTTGTTCACAGTAGGTTTTTTTTGGGCATATAATCCTGGTGCCAAACTTACAAAAACACTTTTGGGTTTCACAGTGTTTTTGTTTTTTGTCCTGTTTTGGAATTGCAGAGTAGAGACTGTAGACCTGCATTAAAAATATCATTTTAATGATGAAAAGACTGAGGCTCAGTTAGTATCTTGCTCAAGGTTATGCAGCTACTACTTGTCTTTTCTGCTTATATTTAGTCTCCTAATATTTGGTCACTTTAACAGAAAGAAAACTGTTTGTTTTTCTGGTATTGTCTGCCAAGATGATTTGAGCTAGAATAGTTTTAGCACAGGAGCCTGATACTCTTATTTGACTGACACAGTCAGTAGTTGAGCCCCAATGCTGAATAACATGGAGATGCTGTGGCAAGAGGTTAGAGTTCCTAAATTTATAGTTATTGAATATAGATTTTTCTTTTTGTACCAAATGATCTGTTTGGTACTTACTGCCTGTTACTTACTGCTTCACAATGAGCAATCAGGAAAAATGAAAGAGCTCACTGCAAACGTCCCAAACACTCCCACAAGTATTCCCTAAATATCCACTCATTTAAAAGGACTTTTGTTTGCTTGTTTCTAAACTGTTCTGAAAATTGTACATCCCAACTGTGACTCAGAATTGTTAATCAAGTTCAGAATTAAAACACATTTTATACATTCTAATAAAATATTCTTTTAATTTAGAATTCAGAAAGAATTCATTAGCATTTTTAATGACTTTTAAGCTTCTGTGGTTTGAGCCTTATTTCATGGACTCTTTTATAAGTTCCTACTGGAAGGCCAGCTTTTCTTCCTCATTCTCATCTTCCCCATATTTAGATCTTCTTCATATATCTAATATGAACTGTTACAAATGCCTGAAGTTTACTGATTCACTCCTAAGTCTTTCTTTTTCTACTGGGTGTAACAGCAGTCCTTTTGGCTGGACTGTTATAAAAATGAGTAAAAGCACAGTTCTGTAAGACAAAATTCTAAACCCCCCAACTGACTGAATGGACCCCTCTGTTGGCCAAGGGCATTCCAAATTAAACCTGAAAAACTAGTTCAGGCCTTGATGGGAAGGGTGGTGGTTGGGCATACCTCATTGTACCCTCCTCCCTTTGGAATTCAGGCACAAGTGATCAGCGTTAACAATAAAACAGAGATCTTAACAATGGCAAAACAGACTCTTTGTAGCAATAAGATACCAAATTCTAACCTGACTCCAGTATAGCATCACATGACAGCAGGCCCTGAAAGAAACTGAAGTATTTTACCCCAAAATATATTTCTTTGACATATTTTGAAATGGCTCTGCAAAGCTGTCTCTTGTGGGGATAAGGATCCTATAGATAACCCTTTTTCTTTTTTAGATCTTTTCCTGATTCAGGAGAGACTAACTAAAGGTCTTACATAATACCTTTTCAGGTCTGATAAGAGATATTTGCCATCTACTCTCTCTGAAGCCTGCTACTTGGAGGCTTTATCTGCTTAACAAGAACCTTGGTCTCCACAACTCCTTATTTTAACACAGACATTCCTTTCCACTGATTCCAGGTCTTTAGATAATAATTTAGCTCTTTCAACCTATTGCCAATTAGAAACCGTTTGAATCCACCTATGACCTGGAAGTCTCCCTGCACTGCCCACCGCCAATTCGAGTTGTTCTGCCTTTTCAGACTGAACCAATGGACACCTTACATGTATTGATAGTCTGCCTGTTAACTTCTGCCCCTCTAAAATGTATAAAATCAAGTTGTAACCCAACCACCTTGGGCACATGTTCTCAGGACCTCCTGAGACTGTGCCCCAGGCTTTGGTCACTCATATTTAGCTCATAATAAATCTCCTCAAATATTTTCCAGAATTTGACTCTTTTTCATTAACGGCTAGTATAATTCAGAAATGTTTAAATTCTAGTAAATAATTGGGTATTATGTGGAATACCTGGGTGACAAAAATTATCTGTACAATACCTGTGACATGCAATTTACTCATGTAAGAAACCTGCACATGTACCCCTTGAGCCAACAAGTTGGAAAAAAAAAAATTCTAGTAAATATGAGAAATGTATAATATTGAGACTATGTTATATAAAAATATATCATATGTAACATATATTATGTAATTTTACATAATATATTATGTTTATATATTATATATTACATATTATTTATATAATACATATTTTATTATAGATTATATATAATATACAAATATATAATATATAATATATAACATATATAACACAACATATTATGTTATATATTATATGTTATATATAATTTACATGTTACATATAATATACAATATGTTATATATAATATATAATTTTACTCCTATAAATGCTTACATCTCTTTTAACTTTCTGACTCTGTAATCACACTTAGTTTAAAACACAAACACACTGTACAGCTGGATAAAATATTTTCCTCCCTTATATTCTTATTTTATCAATTTTTAATTTTAAATTTTTTAAATTTTTTTTACTTTTAAAACTTGTTTGTTAAAAACTAAGATGTACATACATTGGCCTATCCCTACAGAGGGTTAAGATCATCAATATCACTGTCTTCCACATTCACATTTTGTTCTACTGGAAGGTTTTCAGGGCAATAACATACTTCAAACTATCTTCTATGATAACAATGCCTTCTTCTGGAATAACACCTACAGGACCTGTTTGAGGCTGTTTTACAGCTAACCTTTCATTTTTCTTTTTAACTGCGTTTTTCCTGAGACTAAAGCTAGTCAAGTTGACTCTGAAGAAAAATCACCACCACAGCTTACAGATTCCTTCACTAAGGAGGTAATGGGATCTCATAGCCTAATACATAGTGAATGATTAACAAAGAAATGCTTCTTTTTTTCTCACACATTAAATTTTATTTTCTTTTCTTTTTTTTTGGGGGGGGGGGGGACAGGCTCTGGCTATGTTGCCAGGGTGGAGTGCAATGGTATGATGTTGGCTTACTGCAACTCTTCGCCTCCCAGGCTCAAACCATCCTCCCACCTCAGCCTCCAAAGTAGCTGGGACTACAGGAGGACACCACTACACCTGGCTAATTTTTGTACTTTTGGTAGAGACACGGCTTCGCCATGTTTTCCAGGCTGGTCTTGAACTCCTGGGCTCAAGCAATCTTACTACCTAAGCCTCCCAAAACATTGGGATTACAGGCATGAGTCACCAAGTCCAGCTAGGACACATTAAATTTTAAAAAATGTTTATTACAAATTCAAAAAGATCTTATAATAAAAAAATCTCACCCTTTCACATCTCCAGGCCTGCTTTCAGGGGCAACTATTCTTATAATTTGTTTTTAGTATTTCTGGCAATTACTATACCAAATACTATATCTTTAAATGATACGTTCCTCCTAATGTTATTTCTTCATGTATCAATTATAGATATCTATGTACTTCCTACAGACAAGCACTTAGCTCTAGATAGTTACATATATTTTTTCCTGTACCAGTTACCTTTGCACACTGAAATGATATGCTTAAACTTCTACATCCTGTTGTCTCATTTCTTGATTTGCACTTTGTAAGATTCTGGTATTATAGACTAAGACTCAATCCTTCTTGTTTCTTCTCTTCCTACACTTTTCCTTCCATACCTCTGCTGAGCAAAACCTAGGCCTTAGAGAATATAATTCTAGCTCTTCTTTAGCATGTCATACAGTGCCCTTTATGATCTAGCCTCTGCCTACTTTTCTTATCTCCTGCCATTACCCACTTCAGCTAATGTTCACAGTCATGCTGAAGCAGGTATTTAGTTTTTGGAATCTTTTGTGAACTCTTGTTCTTTTTATCATTGTCTCATAGCTTTCCATGGCCTGGAATGGCCTCCTCCTACAATTCACTGGCAAATCCCAATCACTTTCTTCAGCCTACATGCTACATTAAGAAATCTTCCCTAGTAGATGTCCCTTATTACATCAAAAAGTATTTATTGAGTACTTGTTTTGTGCAAGTCACGGTTTTAGATGTGGGGGCTATAGAGGACCAAGATAATAATGAGTTTGCATTCTAATGACTTAATAAACAGATTTAATAAATATTACTACCTTACCACCATTATGAAACCTACTATGTGCCAGGATTATACTAAATAACTTACATATGCTATTTTAATCCTCACAACAATTTTATGAGCCCTATGAGTGGCTGGGCTTGTACTCAATCTCAAGTCTGACTTCACAGCATTACCTTTAAGCTATGCTCACTCTGCTCCCATTACTCCGTGTTCATTTCTATTACAGCATTTGTCATGTTTTGAAATACTTTGCATATGGATTTCCCCATATGAACCACAGGAGATAAAAAAATTATTTTCAGGATGGTGTAGAACCAGTGCCATTCTAGATGTATACGAAAGAAGTTAATACATTATATATAATGGGTGCCTAAAGGCTTAGGGATTAATTGTCTCTTGAAATCCCAGGTTGAGAAGGGCTGCTTTAGAAGAAGGCCTGTTAAGGGCCTCTCAAGGGTAGAGAAATCTGCCACTTAGTGGGTGACTGATAAATTTTTGTTGAACTTGTTATTTAAACCTTTGTAATTAATACATCCTCAAAAGTATTATTTTGGGATTGAAAAGTGAGTTGCTTCAGTCTTGCTTCTAGAAATGGCTTTGCAGCAGGAGTTAAGCACTTAGTATTTTCTTAAGAGAATTCCAGGGGTGTTGGATCCAAACTTTGGGAGGAGAAAGAATGCATGGACTCTAAAACCAGATCACCCAGATTCAAATTCCAGTCTCACTGTTTGTTATATAAATTGAAACAAGTTATTATTTAACATGTGCCAGATACTTTTATAAATACTTTACACTATTACCTGATTTAATCTTCAACACTTCTATTTAGTAGATAGCTTTACTCTTTCCTTACTAGCTCCACGCCTCAGTTTCCTCTTCTATTAATAGGAGTTAACAACAAATTGCCTTACAGAGTTACTCTTAGGATTAAATGAGTATAAAGTGCTAAGAATACTACCAGGCATAAAGGAAGTTAGCTATTACTAACAGTAGAGACTGTGGCCAGGGCAGAAAATCACTTTGATGTAACTTAACTTACCAAATTTTTCATTTTATGTTAATATTCACTTTAAGGGCACAGATGGAATTCTTTGGAAAGGGTACTAAATCTTAAGCACTTCCCAATCAAGCTGGCTCTGCATCTCCCTAAGGGAAAAACCCAGCAGCTGGTGCTGAAATGAAAAACGTAGGAAAAAATACCTCTAAAATCTGGTCACTTTTCTGCAACTCCTCTGCCATCTTCCAAGTCCACATTATCATTATCTTTTCCTGGAATCTCTTGCAACAGCATCCTCCTTGGCTGCCTCTAGTTTCTCCAGGAGATTAACCTTTTCAAAAGATAGACGCACATTGGATTGTACCATGCCCATGCTTAAAACCGGTTACCCAGTAAGCATTTCATAATACTCAAGTCAGTAACTTGGCTAAGACTTACAGGGTCTGGCGTCGGCCCATGCCCCCAAATTCACTCCCTCACCTCCTCCCCATGGTCTCTACCCAGCCACGTAAGCCTTCATCCATTGTTAAACAAATATTGATTTGCTTGTCTTGTGTTACAGAGTCATTGAGGATACATTAGTGACCAAACAAAACACAGTTCTTCTACTCACAGAACTTACATTTTAAGTGGCAGGGGAAAAACAACAATTGCTAGTTGTAAAAAGTATAAAAATGAAATTGAACCTGCAAATAAAAAAAGAGTGCTCACTTGAGATACAGTAGTCAGGAAAGTCTTCTTTAAGAAGGTACTATTTTAGATGTAATCTAAAGGATAAAGGGAAGTGCCACGTATTGAATGGCCAAGAGAGAATTCAGGTAGAGGGAATAACCCATGCAAAGGTTCATACATGCTGGAAAGAAGTTGTGTTTGAGGTATCCAGAGCAGATCACCTTACTGTACAGTTAGTGGGCAGTGAGGTTGGCCGACACCTGATTGTGCAGGACCTGGGAGGCCGTGGTAAAGATCAGAATTTTATTCCTTTTTCCCGCTCCTCTTTTTATTTTAGAAAATCTCAGTTATTTTAGAAAGTTGTAAGACTAGTACGATGTACACCATTATACCCTTCACCTAGAGTCACCAATTACTAATATTTTGCCACATTTACTTTCTCTATTTTATTTTTTTGCCATATCTTTTGAAGGTAAGCTGCAAACACTGTGACACTTTGTTAATTACTTTAGCAAGCGCCAGCGCCTTCCAAAAACAAAGGCATTCTTCCACTTAACCACAAATTCATTCTCACATGCAACCAATTTAAAACTGATTCATCTAATATGTAGTTCATATTTAAATTTCCCCAATTGTCCACAAATGTATTTCACAGTTTTTTTTTTAAATCTACATTGTTTTTTTCTGATTGTATCCTCATGATTAGATTCATGTCAAACATTTCTAGTACAAATAGTATCAGGTGCTATTAGCGATGCTAAGTATCTTCACTTGGTTAAGGTATGTGTAATAAATCTCTTCAGTGTAAAATTCTATTTTCCCTTTATAATAAATGATCTGTAGGGTGATTCTTTGAGATACTAACATCCTCTTCCCCGACAACCTTTCAGTTAATGCTTTGTTTTAGCATCTTGCATTCATTAGTTTTAACATTCATAAGCTTACCTACATCAATTTTGAGACTGGCAGTTGCACAATGGGGATGCAGCGAGGGAAGTGACCCTCCGGATCCCGGGATGCTGAGTCTTTTCAGATCCCGTAGGGACAGGACTGGGAAGTGGCTAGCCCGCCATTCCTCGGCCAGTCCTTGGGGAGTCGCAGGACTAAGTGCAGTGGCAGCAGCCTAACCTCGGGCCTTCGCCACATCTTTATTGCCTCGAGGACAGAATCGGAGATCGGTGGCACAGTCAACAGCGTGGGACTTACGACAGCCGCGAGGAAGCGCACTATTAGTGCCCGACTGGCCGAGCTAGTAGGTAAACGAGACCATCGGCACCCGGGCTTCCCACGCCTGCTTCCGCTCTTTGGCTGCCCGCGTTTCAAGACCCGCCCCCACATTGGAGAGCTTCTTCCGGGAGCCACTAGAAAGTCCGCCGCGCGAGCCGGCGGCGCTCCCTGGCGGAGCTCTGGACGCTCCACCCACTCCCAGCGTTCAGTGCGGTGCCCTGGCCGCCATTGTTTGAATTTGAAAACGCTAACATCGCAGTGCTTCTCGCGGGTCCGGCTAACCAGGCGACGTTTGCAGGTGAGAAGGTGGTCCGGGGGAAGGTGTAGGGAAGGAGGTGGGTGACTGCATATATATGGGGCCTAAGGTGGGGAAACGGCTTTGACAATGTGGACATGTTCCGACAGTGCTCGTACCCCCGTAGAGGTTACTGTCAGGAACTGGGTTGCGGAGCGGTGGGAACACTGGGTACGCAGCGAGCATTGAGTCATACTATTTCGGTTAGGGTTTAAATCTCGCCTCCGCTGCTTGTTAGTTGAGTGACGCAAGACAATTCATTTAATCTCTCTGTATCTTAGTTTTCTTATGGGTTAAAAGGCGGCAATAAAGTATCGATTTCTTTCGACTTTTGTGAAGATTAAATGGTAATGTGTAAAGTTGTTAGTGCTGGCACACAGTAGTTACTAAATGTTTGCAGTCATTAATATTATTATTGTTGTTGCTTCTGTTGTTGAGAAACAGGCCTCTTTTGCCACAGCTAGTTTTCTGAAGCTCTGAGGTGAGCAGTTTGCTCGGCAGGTAGGTAACACGGCCTTTTTGCGGGGGGAGCCGTGTGGTGGCCTCTGTGCACTTATTTGCAGACTACTCCTACTGGTGCTTGGGGCTTGCCTTTCTAGGGTTTTGCAGTGCCAGGCTGAAGAGTTCGTGGCACAGTGACTGCTGTTATTAGAAGGCTTTCTCCATCTCGATTCGCTTCCTGGTTCAGTGATGCCTGTCTGGCACAATTCTCTAATATTTTTTGCTAAAGTACTAGTTTACACAAGTTCATGCCTTGTGGGTTAGGCAGTGTAACAGTGTATGTGTTTTATTACATGTCCAAGACTCCAGATTTTAAATTGTAAAATAACGTAAAATACTCATCAGTTAGTTGTGAAGACTTTTTGAGGCTGTGTGTTGTAGACCACATTCAGAAACCTCATTCAGTAACAGATTCTACTATTTTTCACTAAAGTCTCCAATTGCGAATTCTTATTGGAGAGAAGATAAATAAAGATGCGGTTTTCCAGTCAGAGCAGCCTTTTGAAATGAAAAATGAGGTCTTGAAGCCTGCTGTCACGAAATATAGTATTACAGATTAGGACCGATTTTTTTGGGGGGGGAGGGGAGAAGAGTTTTTCTTTATAACCATTATTTTAAGTCATTAGTCAGAGAGTCTTTATCCCTACATAAGTCACTGAATTTGTTGTAGGGGCTACAGAGTGGTATAAGATAAGGTTCTTGCCATCAAGAAGTTTCCAGTTTAGTTGGGTAGGCCATGTATAAGTAGTAGTCATATAAAATTGCAAGAAGTTACATCTCAACACTTTTAGAAATGCTAGGAAGTAGTTTGTTCATTGAAAAATGAGCATATGAACAAATACTTTATTATAACTGCTTTTCGTACACAGGAATATTCTTTTTAATTCAACAGTTTAAAAGATTTATCAACCTTTTTCTTTAAACCAAAAGTTATTATTTGAAACCACAGATGTTTTTTAGTTTTCTGGGCATTTCCATGAACTCTGTGTTTTGAAATGTCAAGCCGGTACTTTAACATTTTTGCAAATGCTCCCCGCTCTGCACCCCCTTCCCCGTGATCTAGATCGGTGCTTTCCTTAGTCCTTTTGCAATTTAGGGGAAAAAATCCAGCCACGTTCTTGTGATACGTTTAGGAATTTCAGACTGATCAAGGAAAAAGATTGTCAACAAGGTGACAGGAATAAACAAGGACTTTGACAGAATTGTAGGCAAAGGAAATCCCTCTCAGTATGGGACGTTTTCTAGACCAGGGTGAGGGGCCACCATCCAGAGGGGAAAGAGGGCAAGGGGGTTGGGGAGTGGGGAGGAAAGAATCATAGAGGGGCTTAAATGTCTAAGTGATGTTGCACAGTGGAGAGTCTCTGGATCATAGAACTCTCAAGGGCAGCAGCAGCTTGGGGGTCTTGATAATCCCAGGTTTTATGTGTCTGGCAAATGTTGGGTGCAGTTTCATGGGGCGTTCAAACCTGGCAGGCTCTAAATGGCTAAAAATATGCTTATTTTGGGCCATATTGAAAGTAAATGGATGCTTCAGAATTTGAGTTTGGCACCCCAGCAGGCTTTTTTTTTGTTTTGTTTTTGTTTTTGTTTTTTTTTGAGACAGAGTCTTGCTCTGTTGTCAGGCTGGAGTGCAGTGGCACGATCTTGGCTCACTGCAACCTCTACCTCCTGGGTTCAAGTGATTCTCCTGCCTCACCCTCCTTAGTAGCTGGGACTTCAGGCGCACGCCACCACACCCGGCTAATTTTTTTGTATTTTTAGTAGAGATGGGGTTTCACCATGTTGGCCAGGATGGTCTCGATCTCCTGACCTTGTGATCCACCCACCTTGGCCTCCCAAAGTGCTGGGATTACAGGTGTGAGCCTCTGCTCCCGGCCATAGGCTTTTTAATTTTTATTTTAAACATTTATGGTCTTTGATCCAGTGGGCGTTTGAGCTCAGATCCCTACCAGCTGTGAAGAAGTATACAATTTAGGGCCATCATGCAAGGGCCATCTTTGGTTCATTTTGTATAATACCTGTGGGTTTTGCTTGTTACTACTTTCTTGAGCTAGGGACCTTAGTTTGGGAGTCACTGATCTGGATATTTTATAATCTTGTCGAAAAACAGCTCAGAGTCCTCCCCCTCTCTCTGGTATTGTACATCTAGTAGATTCTCAGTAAATGTTAGAATGTTAGTATTTTTTAGTTAAGGTTATCCTTAAGTTTACCTTTTAGTTTAGTGATTTTATGTTTAATTCAATTGTAATAGTTTACTGATGCATTATTCCTATTTAACTTAAAACCTGTGATGTGTCAGGTACTGTTTTGAATGTGTTTACATATATTATTTTACTTTTTACCTGAATTTGAAATTGAAAGTAATTTTTCAGATAGCGGGGTTCTTTTTTTCCCCCCCTTGACAGAGTCTCTCTCTGTCGCCCAGGCTTGAGTGCAGTGGCGCGATCTCGACTCACTGCAACCTCCACATCTGGGGTTCAAGCAATTCTCTGCCTCAGCCTCTCGAGTAGCTGGGATTACAGGCGCCCGGCACCACGGCTGGCTAATTATTTTGTATTTTTAGTAGAGATGGGGTTTCACCATCTTGGCTAGGCTGGTCTTGAACTCCTGGCCTTGTGATCCACCCCCACCCCCTTGGCCTCCCAAAGTGCTGGGATTACAGGCGTGAGCCACCGCGCCAGGCCCAGATAACTGAGTTTTAACTTCTAAATGCTAAAAGAAAGTCTATAAGTAACATTCTACAGGAGTCACTGAGTAGAGAACACAAGGTTATAATTTACTCTGTGATCTCCTTACTATTTGAGTTTTGAGAGGATTTCAGGGAGAGAGTAAACGTTTTATACCATCTTTACAGATTACCTGTACTCATGAAACCTCTTTGAATGGATATTATATGAAAATAGTAGGCTGTGTTCAGTATTATTAGATTCAGAGTCTGTAAATATAATTTGATCTTTTGTCTTTCCTGTAGGCTATTGTGTTATAAATGAAGAAATGTAATGCTTTTCTTTTCTAAAATCTAGTTATTTGGGAGGAAGTAGTGGGCTAGACTTTTGAAAGTGTGGGTGGTTTATATGCTGACTTACTAATGTTGTTAAAGAAGTTACTGTTATTCTTGCAGAATGGAATCTAATTTTTATCAAGAGGGAGTACCTCGACCATCTTATGTTTTTAGTGCTGACCCAATTGCAAGGCCTTCAGAAATAAATTTTGATGGCATTAAGCTTGATCTGTCTCATGAATTTTCCTTAGTTGCTCCAAACACTGAGGTAAGTACAAGAAAAGTATTGTGTTGATTATCATGCCTCCTTCTAATGCAAGGGTTGGCAAACAATGGCCTATTTTTGTATTACCTGTTTCTGTACTTAGATACAAGCTAAGAATGGTTTTTATATTTTTAAATAGTGGAAGAAAAATCAAAATAGGAATAATATCACATAACAAAAATTATATGAATTTCAAACATCACTGTCCATAAATAAATTTTTATTGCATCACAATTGTACTTTTTGGTTTATTTATTTACTACATCCGTTGTGGCACTATCATGGCAGAGTTGAGTAGTTGTGACAGAGACTATAGGGTGTCTAGAACCTAAAATATAAGCTATCTAGCTTTTTACAGAGAAAATTTATTGACTCCTGGATTGGCATGACGTTTTTGAGATTTGTCATGTGTCATATATCGTAGTTTTTTCCTTTTTATTGCTAAGTAGTTGTCTGTTGTTCAGATATGCCACATTTCCATTCATCGTTTGATGGACGTTTAGGTAGTTTACAGTTTGAGGCCATTATAAGTAATGCCGCTCTGAACATTCTTGTGCAAGCCTTTTTGTGGACTTGCGTTTTCATTTTTCTTTGGTAAATACCTAGGAATACAAACTGTGTAAGTTTAACTTTATGAGTAACTACAAAACTGTTTTTCAAAGTGGCTGTTCCAGCACCAGCAATGTGTGTAGGTTCCAGTGCTTCTACCTCTTTGCCAACACTTGATAATGTAAATCTTTATTTCTAGTGGATGTGTAATGGTATCCTGTTTTGGTTTTAGTTTGCTCTAATGAGCACTCTTTCAAGTATTCTTGGCCATTTTTCTACTTTCTTTGTAAAGTGTCTCTTCAGGTCTTTTTCCCATTTAAATTAGGTTGTTTCATTAGTGTTGTGTGAGAAATCTTTGTGTATACAAATCCTTTGTCAGGTTAATAGTGTCTTGATCAGATGTTTTAAAATTTAAAGGCATTCAATTTAACATTTGTTTTTCTTTTTTGGTGAATTTG